CAAATCCATCTTTTGTCTTTTTTTTTTCCCAAAACAGTTTGGAAAATTGCCCGGAAACATCAGTAACTGATCCTGATCCTCTTCTTTCCACACCAGATTCTGTTGATTCATAATTACTTGGACAAGATCTGAATGAACTTGTGACTTGACTTCACCTAACATATGACTTCCCTTTACTTGACTTAACTTGTGACATGACAAGTCACAATGTATGTCAATTGTGAGGGAAACACATGGTTTGAATCCAATGACCAAGTCTCACGGTTTGTAGCAGTGAGGATCTGGGCTTACTGAATGCCATTCATTTACTTTACCTAAAAAATATATGCTGTCGTCATGCCATGACTCTGGTTAAAACACACAGTCAGGACACAAGTCATGTGTGTGTGTTTGTCAGCATGTGTGTGTGTGGTAGTTAACAATTCAAGTTAGTCTCCTCCCACTGGCAACTGCTCAACAGTACAAGCAGAGTTGCCCGTAAACCTAACGTCAGCACTTCTGTAGTTTTTCTCTCCTTCATTATACATAAATCTGTGAAGTTGTTTGGCCAGGTGCAGCCGAGCTCCACTTCATGAGAGAGCAGCCGCCATATTAGTAGAAGCTTCAGGTTAGAGTTTTACCTGCATTTAAGTCGCTCCTGCGCCTCTTCAAATTCATTTCTGAGAAACAGATCCAGGGCAGCCATACAATCCTCCAGAGCCACAGACAGGTCTGATCTAGAGCACCTGCAGAAGCAAAATATCAACCATTTATTATCCTGTTTAAAAAAGCCACAAAAACACAAAGAAATCCCTTAGTCATTTTTAGGACAATTGTGTCTTCTTCATGTACTGTTCAACTTTATTTCATATAATATGAAACTGATAAATACAACTTTGACTGTTGTTTAAAATGGTATCATTTCACTGTCCATCCATTACTGTTGCTTTAATACACAGTTGATACACATATGTTATTCAAACACACTGTGGTGAAAGGTACCCTCCCCCGTCCTCAGAACAGTCATAATTAATCAGATGCTTAATTCAACTGTTGGACAGCCCTAGTTTTGACATAATCCAAGGATTTGATTTATATTAAACCACTATGTATCACAACACTAAAATCATGTACCGGATTATCAAAGCTACATTGTAGCAACCCCTGCTGGATGATTTTTCTTTACAAACATACTGTATATGTTCCAGCTGAGCTGCATTGGATTTCTTTCACCAAATCCACATGCTAGCCAAGTTGCCAGGCAACACTTTAAGTGTCATTCTATTATAGCCACTTGTCAACAAAAGAGATACATACAGTACAATGATGGAATCTACAGGGACAACAAGCTGAGTTACAGGAATACTTGGTTGACCTGATACTGTATCTCTTTCTATCTCTCTCTCTTGCTCTCTCTCTCTCTATATATATAGTGTATATATATATATATATATATATACACATATACATATACAACACCTGTTTGTATACCATCTGCCATATACATTTATATGTATATTATATATGAATTTTATGATGCTGTCATAAAATACCAAGAGCTCACATACAGATGCTATACAAAAGAGTATTCTCTCTCTATATATATATACATATAGACATATTTAGAAATTTCCTCCCTGAGTATATATATATAAATATATATAAACAGCCCTTTTGTGTGTATGAGCTCTTGATATTTTATGACGACGTCATAGTGAATTCTGTCTTCATTACATGGTCCACAGGATCTCCACGTGAGTGACCAGTGAGAGAGTCACAAGGCTCCATCTCTGAGCTGTCCTGACACATGTTGGGTTTTTTTCTCTCTCTTTTAATTCATTGCCTAACTTCAACAGTCACACGGCGTGATGTGTGGAGAATATTTGTACTAGCACGCTGAGCAGAACCACTACATTAGGATAATGGAAAATATGAACCATCACTACTGATGGCTGTGCACACTAATGTTCTTCAACATTAACATGACTAATGACCTCAGTGTCAACCATGACTTCTCGTGGAGGACCTTTTTTTTTTCTTTAAGATTTTTCAAGCTTTAAGAGAATAGTCATGGAAGTGGTAATAAAATGTTCATTCATTTTTTCTAATCATTGTATTTTAGATAGTTTTTTTCTATTAGGAGTGCATCCACAGCACATATGTATTATTATATGTTGTGTTGCCATTTTATTTCACCATTGATTTGGACGCTACTCTTTTCTTAAGAGAGATAAACCTAAAGTGGTAGAACTCCAATATGGACTCAATCGAACCTTCAAGACTCAACCAAACTTCCTGCATTAGCTGGGCTCAGACACAGTCTCAAACACTGGCCTGGGGTCTTATGGTCAATCTGGGGTTTCCTGTCTTGCCTTGGGACACTCAGACCCACAGCTTGGTCTTCTAGGGGGAAACCCAGCTATGTACTGTATCTAAGTTGAAAAAGACACAGCACATGTGGACTGAGATGCACTGCACAGGGACAAATAATAGTTTAAGTAGCCTAATTAAATTGACTGAAGAATGAGGATGGTAACAAGGCAGAGAGGAAACAATCAGTAGCTTTGTTCCCACTCCATTGGTGAACACCAACTCAACTAGTCCTAGCTGTAGGAAAAACAAAGCACAGGGGGATTTGCACCTATATATGTAATAGACAGTGTGAAGTCCAAGAACAGCCCGAGGTGAAAGAGACAGGACAGGACACTGTCCTTTACATATAGGGAGTCATTAACAGTTGCAGGCAATAACAACTTGCTGTCAGAGCCAGGACAATAGGAACCGTCTGTTAAGTGGAGGACACGCATGCCACACATTACCATCCCATAATTTAATTTAAACTTTCATCAGCAATTTTGAAATCATTTCTCTGGAGACCTAATTGCACAGTGAGTGTACGTCCTTTTCAGGCCTGACGCACATGATCACGGCCACTCGAGCGCCACTTACCACACACTCATCACTATTCAGTAAAAGATCAGAGCAGCATACAGCTGTACTTGTCAGGACTTGTTGACCACCCTTCATTAGTAAAGCCTAACTCCATGGTTAAGATTAATCCCTTAAATTAACTTTAATCCATCATTTACAAAAACTACAAGGTAGAAAATCAAATAATAGAACTAGGGAAGCATATCATGTAATATCTGTAAGAACCATTATCGGTTTCTCCTCTGATAATAAAAACCCGATAACACAATGACTGGGTTTACAAATGATGTGTCCCCTAAAAATAGTTTTGGGGATAAACGACTGTATGTTAAAGTGAAAGTCACTAGATGGCAGCATTGCAGCTCATTTAGTTAATCTCATACTTCTCATACAGTGAATAAATAAATAAATATTATCCGGCCCATATCGGTATCGGTTAATATCAAAATCAGTTTTGACAATATCGGAATATCGGATATCGGCAAAGAGTTAATATCGGACCCCAGGTAGTACTATTAGTCATGTCAACACGATTACAATTAATACTGTGATTCTAACAAAACCCACATTCTCGTTAGATGAAGGAAATAAAATGACAGATTTCCCTGCTGTGGTACAATCAAAGTAAAAATCACAAATTCAATCACAAATTAGTTTGACTTAATGTAACAGCTCAATAGCTTCTCAGGGAAGCCCACCCCCCACTTTGGGAACCACTGCCTTAACCTTAGTATAATTTACATCCTCATCATAACATTGTGTCTCATTAAGAACCTGTTTTTCTTCCAGTATAACTGCCAGTCCTAAAAACACCGATAACTCTCCCAGAAATGTACTTGATAAAGACATTGTAGACCTGCAGCCGGAGCCCAGAGGGTGACGAAGCAGTGGATTTTCCACAGAGGTGGACACAGTTTGTCAACAACAGATTATTTTAGCCGCTCAAAGACAGCGAGGCCTGTTGGCATCACACTGTGACACGAATAACAAACTGCTCCGAGGAAGAAAACCTGACAAGTTTGTCCACATACCTGAGTGTCAAAGCTGGACCTCATTCTCTCAAACACACACAGGATAAAACATCTACCATTACCTTGACATAAACACCCACACCTGTACTGACTCCTGGAGTCATAAAACCGACACGCAGCAGTGACAAAGTATCTTACCCATTTGACAGAGTCTCGTCCTCTCCTGACATTTTCATCTGTCAAAGTGCGAGTGTGTGTGCGTGTGAGAGAGAGAGAGAGAAAAGAGAGTGAAGCCCTGGGCCTTTAGAGCAAAGCAGTGTTATGGTCTGTGTGTATGTGTGTCTTTCTGTAGCATCAAGAGCAGAAGCAGCAGCAGAAGAGGAGGAAAAGAAAGGCTGTCAGTGAGAGAGGGAGAGAGTGAGGATGAAGGGGAGAAGTAGGAGGAAGGGGACAGGGAAGAGGAGGAGGAGAAAGAGGAGGACGAGGAGGGAGGGAGGGAGGGAGCAGTAAACGCAGCTCTTAATAAGACTGGGATGACTATCACACGAGGAGAAAATACACAATCTATCTGTGCTGCGGCTCAAACACACAAGCGTGCACACACACATCATCCGATCATCATGCTCTTGGTAGACACACTGCAGTCTCTTCAACGATTGGTTCCTGCTCCTAAAGGGGCGGGCCTACATTTCCACAACTCCACATCACAGAGGTTTTAAAAAGATGTCAAACTATCAGCAACGTCATCAGGAGAATGTATTAAAGTAGAAATGACGTATAATCACAACGGTTCTGACACCAACACACACACGGTCGTGCATTACTTTGCTGTGTGTAAAGATTTGGACGAAGGTTATTAGGATAGAACAGGGGGGAGAAAAAGATGAGTGGCTGTGACTATGTGACGATGTGAGCAGTTCTAGTCTGCTGCAGAGGCAGAGAACTAACACTGCAGCTACAGGAGAAGACAGAAATAGATGAGGTAGATGCTGTACAGCAAATACACGAGAAAATGCGATGTACTTGGCTGGAAGAACGCCTTTTGTTAAGGATACTTTTGAAACTAATTCTCTTCACTCTTCTGATATGGTGCTGAACTACGCATGATTTTATCACTGAAATGTCATTTTAATGCCTTTGTCGCAGGAAATACAAACATTTCCCATAACAAACAACAATGTCATGCTATTTATAATTAAATCATTGAAACTAACCAAACTAACTAAGGTTATATAATAAAACAAGATCTTAAAAAATATGAATTAAAAAAAGATGGCTAAAAGATGACATCGGAATATTGAAAATATTGATTTCAGTTGTTTGTAGCTTTTCTGGGCTTGTTTACCAAGTGTAGCTGCTAATCAGGCTAACTGTTGGTCATGTCTTTGGAATAGCCTAGTTTGTCCAGATACAGAATCAACAGGAACAACCTCAAGTTAGCCATGGCATGAGTCAGCTGCTAACTCTGACTTTGATTAGCTCGTACAGTACTTGTTGGCTTTATTGGCTGGGTGAATAAATGATTGCTGCTGATAATGCTGATATTGAAAATATTAAGTGTAAAATATGTGCACACCAAGATAAGATATAACAACAATAATAATGTAGCATGAAATGCTAACTAGTTGCAATCATATGTGTAAATTTAATGGCCTCTCTATCTTTTTTATACCAGTGGTTACCAAACGTTTTCTTATTTATTTTGTTATTATTGTATTACACAGCTATTGCTTCTCTGAACTATTTAAAATTCTCACCTGAAAAAGAAATATAACAAATGAATGTGGCACAATTAACCAAATATTAAAAATGTAATACTGCCCACGACTGCCCACTGTGACACTCACAACACCAAGACGTCTCCACGGTCTCCACCATGTTGGACCTAAACATGTCCCCACAGCAGTAGCAGAAATGAGCGTACATCTGTTAATCGGTGCCGCTTAGCTCAGCAAAGCATAAACGCTTCACGATCACGGTCACATGACATAGGTGCCGCTTAGCTCAGCAAAGCATAAAGATCACGGTCACATGACATCATGACATATGTCAAAGTCTTTGTTGCAACTGGGAGATTTTTTACTTGACACTATCTGATTTAAAATACAATAAACATAATGAGCGCAACCAAACGTGGGTTACAGCACATGTCTGGGCCGCAGTTTGGAGGAGAGAACAATTGTTGCTTTCACGTGTCACACGTGAAGAGCACAGAGTGTCATGGGTTCTTGGAGCTGATAACTAGATTAGATGTAGATTTTTTTTTTCTATACTTGGAGAAGGATGTTGTGAAACCAAGGCAAATGTGTTATCTTTGTTTCATATGTTGTGTTTAAATTGAAAAGAAAAGCTATAAACACTATTGTCCTCTCAAAGTTTTGGCAAGGATGGAAAAGTATCACCAGGGTCACGGGCATTAATAATTAAAGAGTCACAAATAAAAGAGGCATCAATTGTCAAGACGTAGCAATAAAATCCAAGCAACACATTTTAACCTTGACAACAAACAAGTGCCTGTGTCTGCTTTTACTTCAAGGGAAATCCAGGGCTGAGCTGTGTTTACAGCTCCGTCTGTTGGACTAACTACTTCACCAACACCGTGGTCAACGGTCTGTGACCACTTCTCTGGTCTAAATGGCCACACACACCGCTTTACACTAAGAGTTTTTGACATTTACATTCTCACATCCAAACACAACATACATACTGTATGGACCTTCAAGATTTCTACTCTAGTACCTCTGTTCTAGATGATGATGGTGCAGTTATTAGAGCCCCAAGAACCCTCATGAGTAGCTGTTATTAGCTCATTAATGACAGTTACTTGCTTGACTGATTATGATGCTACACAGAGCAGCCTACCAGAGACTGTCTCACATGCCTACACTCACCATGTGCTAATGGGCAACTGCATAAACAACAGGTCTGTGTTCACACTCACCCCGTCATAATCTGACAGGGTGGAGTGCTGACGTGATGTTTTCTCCTTCTAAATCACACGTGTCAAACTCAGGCCCGGGGTCCAAATCTGGCCCGCAGTGTAATCATGTTTGGCCCGCGAGATCACATCATATATGAACCAAAGTTGGCCTGCCAGTATATAGGCCCTATATTTATATGTACTGTATATTGTATTGTATATACTGTATATGCCAGTGACTTTAATTTTGACTGGCTGTAAATTTATGTTTGACAGCCCTGGTCTAAATCATGAATACATTAATCACTCAGACAACACTGTAAAACGTTACAGACTCTTCACACCAAAACAAATCAAAGTGACTGTGAGTGACAATGTAACAACACTGAGACAACAACAACCACACATCACAGCTGTCACCTGACAGTATTAGTCCAAGTCAAATTTCCAACTCTTACCCATTTGAGGGATCTGTCGATTCCAGATCTGCTGAGTTGTCCGCGAGCTGTAACCTGAAACAGAATAGAAGTTTGTTTAAGGAAAAAGAACGCTCATCTCAAGGGCTGAAAATCCAGAGCTTTTGTTGAAGAAATACGATCACGAGGACCATATAAACACACACAGGAGTGTATGTGGACACTCCCAGGTATCAGATTGAAGCCGTATGGCAGGTAAACACCGCTCAGCTGACAATATTCCATGACAAAAATGAACTCACCAGTTTATTAATCATTTGTATTTACTCTCTCTGAAGTGACTCACCCAAAGTCTGTGATGATGGGGTCAAGGTCTGGACTGTCGATGACTGATATTCTGGAAAAAAAAAAACCAAACATTTAATTAACAATTAATTTGGGTTACTGACGATGGCTCCAACAACAAGTTTGTGTGTGTGTGTGTGTGTGTGTGTGGACATACTGGTTCAGAGAGTCGGGGCTGTCAGCGATGTCCTGTGTCTCCTGAGAATCCCTGTGGAAAGGTCAAAGGTCATCTTAGAGAGAACGTAAGAATGGATCTCATGATGATGAGAGGGAGACGTTGGTGAAGACACTTGAAGTGTAACACTGGGATGTTACAGAGGGGCAGCCCAGATGTGTTACCAACACAGGCAGCAAGTAAGGAAAAAAAGTTGTATAGATATATTCAAAATATCCTTGGGACAAATAAGCAGTTGTAACCAGATATTAGAGAAACAGCAGCAGTAGTACTACTACTACTAGTAGTAGTAGTAATTACAGTAGTAATAATACAAACAATGTAATGTTGTGCTCTTTAACATAAATCACATGTAATGACTCAGAGATGTATATACTACTAGTACTACTGCTGTCCTACTATATGATAATTAATACTCCACCCACGCCTGTTGTTTAATGAACATTAAAAGTATTTTAATAAGAATTTTATTGTGAATGTGTTCCAGCTGATGACGTGTTTATTATAACATAATAATTTATTATCCTATTGTGACGATAAATAATGACTAGATGAACTACATCTGAGAGTGGACTGCATGGCTAATAGACAATGTGCCGGTTTGTTTCCGCTCCTCTGTCCTCAATCATCAATTTTTCGCAAAATTGGATTGGAATATAGAAAAGTCCAAGCACATGGTCTATTCTATTATAGTCTTTTTTTATAAATGATGTGAGAAATGGCCTCACTTTATAAATGTACTGCCATTAATATGAAGTTATCATCAAATACATCCCAGTCTGATTCTGCATGACATGGTAATCCCAGTTTACAATGGGATTGTGTGTGATTTTTACTGAGAACTGTTAAAGAGTGATAGTTTAAGATTAGAATTACTGACATGCTGTTCTATTTACTCTGGCTCTTATGAGTAATTTCATCCTTAATGATTAACTAGTGAGTGAACATTAAGGACTACGATAGTAGAAATGGTTTAACTGCGTCGTTTCCACCCCGCTGCTGTAACAAGTGACTACGTCTTATCTTTGTTATCATTAGGACATATTCAAGTTTCCAAAGTCATAAAGAGCCACAGAGATGATTAACACTACGGCGTCATTAATACATTATGTTGACTTTAAAAGCCGACTTGGCGCAGCTGCTGCTGCCACATCACTGTGATCCTGCCAGACCGCATCGCATATGGATGTAATGTTGTTTGACAGGCTGCTGTTCTGCAACAAAACACTTAATGAACGCAGCTGAAGAGCCAGAGCTGACGTCCTCGGAGCAGGAAGAGGGAAATCCACCCAGCACAACTTTTCAGCTGCTTTCACAAAAAACAAACAAACAACAAACATCTGATATAAATATTCACGAAGGAGAAAACACAGAGTTGGATTAAAGCTGAGGGATGACAGTAAATATCTCAACAGGCCGAGATTAGAGATTACAGATGAGACTACAGTGGGGGCAGACAGACAGACAGACAGACGTGTGCTGACAGAGCCAGGATTAAATTTCCCTTTCATTTCACTCACTTCCGGTTGTCATGATTCTTCATGCTCCGTCTCCAGTTGGTGATAAAACTCATTCCACAGCCGTTGGAGTTGGTGAAACGGCAGAATGAACCAGAACCAGAGAGAGCCAATTCACACAGCCAGCATGGATGAACGGAGGAGAGGTGAGAGGAGAAGAGGAGAGAGGGGGAGGAGAAGGAGAAGGAGGAGCTGACACTGTGAAGGAAAAGAAGGAAGAAGCAGTCAGTCAGTCTCTCAGTCAGTCTGTCTGTCAGTGCTTCTCCTTCCTGTGTTGCAAAGGTGTGTTACCTTGATCACCAGACCTTCCCTTTTAGATGTACAGGAATGTACTGGTGCTGCAGCAGCGGGGCTTCATGGTCCTAACGCCCGACACACCCTACCAAGTCTGTCAACACTGACGTAAAGCTTAAGAAACAAAATACGTTTTATAAATCTAAATATATCGTCATATTCACGTATTTATATATTTAAAAAACAGTAAGGCAACATTTTAGATAATTTCAGAGTAATCTAATTACATTGTTTTTGCTAACTGGCTAATCTTTAGCCACTTCTGGTCCAACTAGTATTTTAGTTTTATATGTTTATAGTTAGTTTATAGTTTTAAAAATAAGTCATAGCTTATTTTTTGCCATTTGTTTTTTGTTTATTTCTTCTTGCAACATCTTGGCTTTTTTGTTTCAATATTAATTATTCATTCTGGATGAAAGCTAACAAAACAAGCAACAAGCTGTTTTGTAAAGATAATCAACTGAATGGACAAGGTATACTTAATACCTTAATAATTAAAAATGGCCCTTGTTAAAATTGCATTAAAAAAACACACAAAGTGCAAAAACAAAATATTTAATATTTATTCTAATTCAATTAAATGCATTACATATTGTGGCCAAAACCTCCAATAATGATTTTATTACATGTTAGAAAATACAAAATAAAATACAGTTACCTTACAATTTAAAAAGGCCTAATGGGTGAGCCTTAAAAAAACAAGTGGTTAATTCGTAAAATCCAGGGACTCTGTACACACGCGTGTGAAAGGACTGACGACATTTAAACGAAGAAACATCTACTGTAGTGATGACATGTCACTCCACTGCAATTATTACAAAGTGCTGTATCAACCACCCACGGGTTAAAGACAAAAAAAAAAAACATGACATTTGTTGACGCTGCTTGCTGTCATTAATAATAATAATAATAAAAAAACGAAAGTTAAAAATGGAAGAGATGTTCAAAGTGTTGTTCGCTGTTTGGTCAGAAATGAGCAGAGACCACAGGACATTTTCACCGTCAGAAACATCCAATCACAGTTCTGCAGTTGATGCTGAGTAATGCTTTTTGTTTTTTAACGTACAGAGAACCTGATTGAAATGACAACAATGCAGACAGTGCAGAGGACAGTCTGTTTTCACCAGGGAACACGAGACACATTCCATATTAATGCTTAAAGCAAAGCACGACCATGTTGTGTCAAACAAGACCTGACGCAACATTAAATACATTGTTTGTTTGTTTTTTTTATTTTTGCAACTATCGATAGACTTCTTGTATTCAAAATAAAAAACAAACAAACAATCAGCAGCCCATGCTGCTGTGATGTCACTGACGAAGACAGAGAGTTTCAGCTCTGTGGCTGATCCTGAAAGTCTGACCTCCCAGTCCACGGAGCGAGGTTGTTTCGTGTGGATCAGTCAGGATTAACACTGCTTTTAACAATATTCATGTCATGTCTAACTAGAGAGCGAGAGAGCAGGTAGACTAGGTAGACTGCCTGTTCAACACATATACATTCATCAATAAAACCACGTTCATATTTTAAAGTTTTATATTTATGTTAAAGTCCAAACCCAAGACATTCTTTCATCACCAACATCTCAGATCAATAATAAACAAACTGACTGCAGATGTCACACCTTAAATGTTGGGCTTGATTAAAACAGTTACAATGTGCAATGTAATGCAATCTGCCCTAAGTAGGTAACGCAAATTAATACACAGAGAAAGGAAAGTGTTAAGGATAAAGCTTTACTCCTTTAGAAAAATAAACTCTCTGACACAAACATGAACAGATGCTGAACATTATGTGGTAAAGCTCAAAGTCACAGCTATAATATAACAATGGGTTGGTTCCATGTGTAATGTTACTACAGACAAATCCAAAGAGTGGTGTCATCTAAAAAAAAAATTCTATTGAAGAATCGACTGAGAATTAACCAAAAGATCAAGAAATCTCTGAGATTTAAAATTGGGTAGTGCATTTTTATCTAGTCTAACTCCAGACTGTTAATGTTGCGTGTGAGGTGTGGCAGTAAAGTCTTCAGGTCAAGATTATTTCTGGGCATATATAAATCCAAAAATTACTTCATTTTATGGACACAATTCATCCGGCTTTAGTTTTCAAACCACCTACAGAACTGCAGGAACTAAAAGGTTGTTAGAAAAAAATTAAGAACAAAATCTGAAGCAAGTGCACAGTGAAAACAGTCTCACGGAGGAGGGGTGTGTGTGTGTGTGTGTGTGATGCTGGATGGTTGGGATTAGAAAGTCTCTTCATGGGGTCAGCTTGTGCTGCTGCGTCCAGGTTCCGTACAGTTCCCAATTTCGCTTTGGTGCTTTCTCAGAGTTTAGCCAGGC